AGAAGTTGAATTTTGAGAAGTATCAAACCTTTTATATTAATCAATGGATTTTAAACGTCTATCAATGTACGTAGATTGTTAATACTCAGTTGCCAAAACCTTTGTTTTTAATTATTAATTACAACACTAGGGCGTACTACTCGAAACTTTGTCAAGATTGTTTATTGAAACTGCATGATATTAGCTTGGAATTACAGCTTCATTAACTCTGTTTATTGCTTGGACTTTTGACCCTTGATTTCTGTTTCAACATCACCCAAATATTTTCAGCTGGATGAAGATCTACCTTTGGGGCAGGCCATAAAACTGCTAGAGGGTGGTGGTTGAGGGGATGTTGCGCCCCGGGCTGCGCAATTCTGTAAACAGCGGTTTTCGCGTGAAACAATATTTTTTTTTTTTCTTTCATAAGTATTAGTCATGTGGATCGTACTCTGAATTGCCATACTGAATTCCGTCCCCGTTTAGTTGATTATGACAAAGCCCTTTAGGGTTACTTGCCTAAGAAGGGTACTTTCGTGGAGGAGTTTCTAAGGATAACTGGCTCTTGTACAGTTACACTTGTGAAAAATACGAAAACTCCTATGTAGCCAGCCCCTTTGCTTAAAATCGAACTCTAGTCGGAACTTACCATTATTCAGCAATTTTACTACTCGGCCGCTTATGAAGGGGGGGGCATACGGAATTAAACTGAGAGGAAAAATAGTTTTTACTGTATTTAAGGAATTCATAGAAATTACCACGAGATTTCAACTGCTACATACATTTGTAATTTATCTTTTATTGCGAAGAAATTCTTAAATGCAAATATAGAATATCAACTAAATTATCACCGCGGTCAATATTAATAAGATTTTCTCATTAAGAGAGAAGTATTCCAGAGTCTTCTTTTTCTCACTCCCCCCCCTTTTTTTGGTATTTCTATAGAAAAGGCAACAAGAACGTGGATTGGATTAATATTCAATTATGGCAAAGCACAGGGCTATCTGCCTAAAGAGAGGGATGCCTTCGTGGAGGACTTTCTAAGGTAAACTGGCTCGTATAAACGTTACACAATGGGAAAACCACGAAAATTCCCATGCAGCCAGCCCGTTCGAGGGATTCGAACCTCGGACCGAACTACCAGTGTTCCGCGTCTTTACCGCTCGGCCGCTGGTGGGTCCACAGGAACGTGGAAGGACGATCCTTTTGAATTTTTGTAGTTTCATCTAAAATATAGTCCCCATATAGTGTTCCAAATACTGTAATACTGTTGTTGCTTGTAGAAAAAGCTTTCTAAATAAAAAATCATTTAAGAAGTATTTATTGGTGTGGTGTATTTAATTATGGCAAAGCACACTAGGGCTATCTGCCTAAGAAGAGGGATGCCTTCGTGGAGGGCTTTCTAAGGGAAACTGGCTCGTATATACGTTACACATGGGAAAAACCACGAAAACACCCATGCAGCCAGCCCGTTTGCGGGATTCGAACCTCGGACCGAACTACCAGTGTTCAGCGACTTTATCCTCGGCCGCTGGTGAGCCCTAAGAAGTATTTAAAAACTACAATGTTTATTTTGTATTAAAAAAAAATCTTTCTATATTTTCTATGTAAACTCAAATGGAGCAATCAAGGAGACCTCTACAAGGCCGTGTATGGTTTTGCGGAGAAAAAAAAAATAATAATAATATTTTAAAATATTGCAATCAAAATTTTTACTCGATAATAAACTTGCAGTTTTAATTTACTTTTCTAAATGCCGTTTTGACAAATTTTTTAATAATTTATTTCTATATCAAGAGGAAGGCAAATGCAGGGACCCCCCTCCCATACAGCAAACTCAGGAGCTGCTCAGATTGGCAAAAGCTCTAGCTACGCCCCTGGCCATAAAGTCGACTCACTCCATGTGCTGAGATGTTACTACATATCATAACTGTGGTAGAATGCTTTACTACTGCTGTAGCAAAATATGGTTTAAATATTTTATTTGTAGGGGTGTCGTATAGAGGTGATTCTTCATTAGTTGACAAAAGCCATTTTGATAGCGAATGAAGCGACTTGCAACTGGCCTGGACTCATTAAATGAACAGCATGTTTGAAACTTCTGTCTACATTTTTCACAATTTTTAAAGGCATAGTTTATGAACAAAAAGTATAAGATTTCGGCCATCTCACATCACACTTTTCTTTGACCTTCCTTTACCAGTCTTCCAGATTTTCATGAAATTGAAATTTCTAATGCATCTACTAACAACCAAATGATGATAATCAGACCAGTAATGTGCTGGCAAGAATATATTTCATTACGCTATGCATTAATTTTAGCTCTGCAAGTAATTGATTAACTTGTTTGCAAACCATATTCTTAAATTAAATGAAAAAGAAATTAAGAAATTCAAATTGCAACGCAGACGTTTCAATGTCGGAACTTTAAAGCAAGAAATATCAATTTTTATAAGTAGAGAGTGTGTTTAGAGAGGGAAATATAATATATTTAATTTTTTATTCGTTTATTCTTATGAGCCATTTTTTCCTTTCTGAATTTACAAATAAGTCTGTTATTTTAAAATGATTTTAAAGTTTTGAATTTTATGAAAAATTATCATTAAAATAATGCCCAATTTATTAAATTATAAGGTAATTTTAAAATATGATAATGCATTTCGGATACATGTATTCAGGAGATGCAGAACTTTTGTACGAAGCTGTAATAATTTACCATTGCAATTAACTGTCTGATTGAATTATATAGTCAATCAAAGAGTATTTTCTTTCTAAGATTTCCGAAATATTTACTAAAATCAAAGGGATATTTTGGGCTTTTTATTACATTCTTTGTTAATTAACAATTTCGGATCCAAACTCGAAAAGCCTTGCCTATTTCTTTTCACTTAGTTCGTCTTTTTTCACATTTCATTTTACACTTTTATTGAATCTTTAATTGTTCTCCTTTCTAAACAGGTAAAACAATTACGCGAAATCGAAAATTTAATGAAATTGTCACAAAAATAAAAAATTATGATCATGAAATATTAATTACTCATTATTAATGTGTAAATAAATTTTAAATTTATCTATAATTTCCATCAGATAATTAAATTATATCCTTTGCATCTCTAAAAAAGAGTGAAAAAAATTTTAGACATAATTTAGATTATGCATTTTGTTAAGTTATGGTGGGAATGCGATGTTTTATGAAGCTTATGACATTTTGAAAATATTAATTTAAATAAAATGGAATTGAATTCCATGAAACAAATAATTAAATCTTTTAATTTCTGCTAATAATGCGGATATGATGAGATGAATTAATTCTATTGATTCTATCCTTTGTTATCTACAAAACAGTTAAACGTACACTTTCAATACTCTTTAAGCGATAGCAATCCAAATTTTCCTGAAAGAAATAAATGTCATAAAAAATTTTTTTTTACTCAGATATTTTCATTTTATCTCAACGAAAGGAATAGCTAGATATAAATAGAACAATAAATATACTTTTTCCTGTAATATTACTTGAGTATTTTCGGGATATCCTAATAATTTGAGTTAACACGCCGAATAATGATTATTCAAGGAGTTAAAGCAACAAGTAACAGCCTAATTTTCATAAATTTGCCCCCAATTTTATGAATATTACGTTGATTTTTGTTGCTTTAACTCCTCCAATAATCAATCTTCATAACTTCTAAATTTATGTTTCAAATATGAGATAAAAATTGCCGAACAAACTACTGCTCTTAATATTTAGACTGCCATAATTTAAGTATTATGAAATTAAATTTTTACTACAATACAAAAAGAAATGCAAACATTATATAATTTTTTTCAAAGTTCCCATTAATCTAAAACCTTTTTTCAAAACATTCAAGTGAAGTGTATTATGTATACTCATAAACACACACACATACATATATATATTATATACACTGAAGATCTACAGTTAAGTTAAAAATAATTGTCCTTAGTATCGAAAGCACAAATTATCACCATTTTCAAATTAAGAAAATTACAGTTCGTTGAATTTAACCGTTTCGTTTAATATTAACAAACATTCGTTGAATTATGCGTTTGAACTTAACAAATTCGTTAAATATTAGTCTATTTTTGATTGCACCACATAAAAAATCCAATTTAAGAGAAATATATAAAACATAATTCACCGAATATTAAACTTTTTTAGAAATAAACAAACATTAAAATATTTCTATTTGCTTTACTTTTCGCCGATTACATCAATCATGGACATAAAATATGTAACCATATACATGGGTACACATGTAAAGCATCTTTCACTTGTATAAAATATGTTAACTATAATTATATAAAATATGTAATCACAATGTTACATTTAACCGTGTGAAATATGTAACTATATAAATGATGAAAATAAATGTGTAAGACTAAAAATGTCATTGCGTAAGAAAAAATAATGTAAATACATACACAAATTCCTAGTGATGTAAAATGTATTTATCTCAAGTAGTCTATATGATTAGATGTTAGATTTGGTGCTTAATATTCTAAAACATCAGATTATATTCTTTTGTATTTACGTTACATGATACTATTTAATATCTACTTTAAACTTTTCACATATGAAAAAATTACATATATGAATTTGCACATGAAATTTGTACCCCCTCGTGTTTTGCTCATAATCAAACAAAACGTCCCAAGTGAAAAAAACTTGAATGTCGAAAGTTAACGTTTCTGTTCATTCACTAACGTTCCCACAGCGATAAAATCTCCTGCATACCATCATAGACATAAAACAGAAGCCTATTTTAAAAAAATCTTATTAAGAAATCAATACGTTAACATAACATACTGTTAACATACTGTTTATAAACAAAAACCGTCTGTCATTCTAATAATATCTCTAATGATGGCCGTTGTGAAAATATATTTGCTTTATATCTGTGGTCCGTACATACTATATCATAATACTATTTTCTTTAAAAAAAAAGTATGACAAAAAGCGTAACAGATTAAAAAAAAAAAAAACAATTAATTTTCCATACCTCCGGTAATGATGAGGTGTTCTATCTCTTTGTCTTCTGTTTTTAAACCAATTGCTAACTTGGGTTAGTGTGAGACCAGTTTTTTTAGCCAATCCTCTCTTTTCATCTGGCGTTGGATATCTGTTCTGCTTGTAACAATCCTTGAGAGCTATCCTAGACTTCTCTTTGAAACAATAGACTGTTTCTTCACCGTCCCAAATTGTCTTAGGCAAAGGAAACTTTCTCCTCAATCTGTACTTATCCACAGCGCCAAGAGGCCTGCCTCGGATTTTTTCGGCTTCCCTGTAATGGGCTTTGTACCACATTTGCTGAAGATCATTGTGATACTGCGGATCAAAATTGTGGCTCTCTAAGATGGCGTATAGGTCTTTGTAATTTCCCCGATGGAATGCAACTAAAGCTTGACCACGCAGTACAGATTCGTTGCCTCTCAGTAGTTCACTTGGTGGCAAAGACCATAGAAATCTGGCTAGTCTGTCAATATCCCTCGCTTGTTGAAGGGCCTCACACATGCAGGCAACCTGCTCAGGAGAGAATGTCAAGTTCTGGCCGGACAACAATTCGCTCAGTTTCGAACTTGGAGACTTGGTGGCACAATAATCAGAGTTACCGCTTCCTGATCGGTTGTTGGACTCACCATTATTGCTGCTGCTAGTACTGTAATCGATGCCACAGTTAGAAGTAGTTGCAGTACCACTGTTGCTGCCACTAATTGCACTAGAACGGTTGTGAAGTGAGCCGGAATGAACAACTGCGGTAGGGCGCCTCGTGGCGCCGTGCTGGCTTCGGGTCACTGCCGCGATGTTTGCTGCGGAGATGCTGGCTGAACTAGCGTCGATGGCTTCACTTTGAAACCGCATGGATTGAGGTGTTTGCTGCCTATTACTGGTGGAGCCGCCACAGCAGGACGAATTTTCCGATTGCAGTCCAGCCATTGACTGTTTCAGTTTTTTTCAACTCAACTGAAATTTATGAAAAGCTGAAAAATTTCTAAACATTCAGTTGACTAATAACAAAAACAAAAAACGTAATTCATCCCTTTTTTAAATTTGCATTTCATATGGATATATTCCCTTCACAATTCTGAGAATCCAAATCTGGCAATTTCTTATTCATTTTTAGAATAATTTATAAATAATTAACTATTTAACATAGAGGCCACAATTTCTAAAATTCACCTACGTATGCCAAAAACACCTCACAAACAAGAAAACGAAGCTCCAAGCGCATAAATATCATTGCAACTAGCTTCTTAAACTTTGCAATTGATTCTTGAAACGCAATATGCCCTCGTTTGCATTGTGCTGCACGTTACGTAGGACTACCCATTACTTAACAATTTATTTCTTTTCGTCCATTCAATTTACTTGTAAAAATCTAACCGAATAAATTCTTTTCCTTCAGTCAATAAGCATTCCAATCTAACGCTCTTAATTTGCACAAATAAAAAAGAAAATCTTTTATACAGATGGAGTGAAAAAAAGGAAAAAATACAAAGTCCACAACTTAACAGCAACGTTAAAAATCATCCAATTATCCAAGCAGCAACGTTTTGAAAATAAATTTTCGAGGCAGAACGCGGGCGGGCGAAGATGAGTAAGAACCGAGCAAGCAAAGGAGTCACAGTTTAATGATGTAGCCGGTATCTGGTTCGAGATCTGGTTACGCCAAGCACACGGTGGGACGAGGCATTATAGCCCTCGCAAATGATGGACGTGTGAACGGCGATCAGTTGCCCGGGTTGCCGTTTAATCCGTCGTCGCCAATCGATGCTTTGGCGATCAGGGCAAAAGCTAGACGCCAAGAAGTGACAGTTTCGCGGCTTTGAGATGCAAATGCGAACAATTAGCAGCATTCGAATTATGAAATAAAAAATTAAAATTAGTTTTTGTAAGGAAAAAAAAAAATTGTTGATTCTGAAAATCTACAGACATTTTCTTATCAATTTTTTTATTGTTATATCGTTGCTGTTATTATTACTCGTGATATGATAATTTGCGTAATAAAATATTTGTCGTCGTCACACAGGTTGTCCGCACATTTTTTAGACGATATTCATTGTATTAACAGAAATATTTTACCTAAAATATTTGTGTTTCAAATGCTTTGTTTGATAACCTTTATTCTGCACTATCTTTCTACGCCGTAATTTCCAATGTAATAAAGCCGGAATAGTATCGGAAGAGGTATTTTATCGCATTCGTCTTGAACAGATCTCCAAGGAGTCCAAGGAGAGTTGTAGGTCAATGTTTAAACAATCCGCTTTTATAAAAGTCCAAAAACACTAACGTTTATGGGATCCAGGAGTTTCAGAAGCGATATGAGCGAAAGGTGTGACCTTGATATCCGTTTCTTGTTCATTTTTTCCAAGAAGTTAACAGTGGATTTTGACGTGTGGCTGTGCTTTGTTTAATGCAGTTCTATTAATTGATAGAACTGTGGGTAAAGAGAAGCTGTTTCATATTTGAAAACTGGGCATAAAATATGTTCCTGATAATATGTGGAGTTTACTTAATATTTTTCCAACTCTCTTCATTTCTAATTTGCGTTATGTGAAAAACCAGCAACATTAATAAATCCTTTTGAATATTAATTTTTATCTAAAGGGGCTTTGTCCCTGAAGGGTTGTTGTTTTCCTTTTGCGATTTTGCGTTGGTTCACTATAAATGACCGTTTCACTTTTCAAACTGTTGCCACCAAATGTTAGAATCCTGCATTTTATTTGAAGAAATTAAACAATGAATAATCTGCATAAATGTATGTATGTTTCTCGCATTGTGATAAAACAAGATGCCATCGAACCGAAATACTGAAACAACGGTACCATCGAAGTACTGAAACAACGGTGAAGCACCCAAACAACAGTACCATCGAATTTTGAATGACATAATCCTACTGTGAATATGGGCATGTGGAAGCCCAAATTTGAAATTTGCAATTTTTTTATTATCGACTTCATATTTTTAAACCTTTAACGCATTTATTCAAGAATTTCAAAGCGAGCAATGGCAACGTTGTACAGAAAAAAACATTTTTATCTCCAGTGCGTGAGACTGTGTATCGGAAGTTCTAAAGATATGCTCAATTTAAAATTATTTTGCGATATTGCTTTTGAACTGAATTTTATGGTTTAAGTGCAAAGAACATAACATTTCATAAATAAAGGTAACACACAAGACGTTAAAAAACGCCTCTTTGGACGTAATTTAAAATATAAAACCTTTCAGATTTTTATTTATTTATTTACTTATTATTTTATTTTTTTAAGTATGCTTAAGATTTTTTTTCTACTCTTAGATGATAGTAAATGGATCTCTTTTTATTTCAGTCATTCAAATATAGCCAGGATTCATCTATTGTAACAGCATTTTTCCATTTTTGTCCGGATAAAGGTTTTTCATAGAGAATTTCGCAGCGCATTCTGCGTTCTGCAATATGTCATGGAAAAGTGTGTGTGTATGTATATGTGATTATGGCAAAGCCTCGAGAGCTTTCTGCCTAAAAGGGAGAGATGCCTTCGTGGAGGACTTTCTAAGGAAACTGGCTCATATACAGTATCGTGGAAAAGGAAGATGCAGATTAAATTTTTTCGGCTTTTATGATTCAATTCAAATTAATGAATTTGTTTACAGTTGACACTGAGCATTTTAATGATTTTGCAACTATCCTTTGAATTGGCGGATTTTTTTTTTTTTTTTTTTTACATTTAATATTTTACTTTTGCAATATTAAAAACAGTCCGGTTTTTTAGCTTGTATACGTATTTTGAACAATTTTTCCGCTTGAAACCAAATTGATTTTTTTTTCTTTCTTATTAACAATATTACTTGTCGTAGTTTTAGATATCGAAATGTCATTGGTTTCACAGCGTTTTTTAATAAGTAGATGCGAATAATTTACTTTGGAAAGAGCACAAACATAGACTTCAAACCACTGCTTCTTTAAAAGCGCCATTTTGCATGAAAACAAAACTGTCAGATAGCAGTCGATGATTTCTACTTTTAAAAATATAATTGCAGTTAGAAAAAATGTTGCACCCAGGGACAGACATCCCCTTGCTCCTCCCTAGCTACGCCACTGCACTTCTTAAAAATTGTTACATTAAAAAAAAGGGCGTTATATATATATATATATATATAATCAGGAAAGTTAACTCCATTTTTTAAAACAACAACTGAAAAATAAATTTTTTGAAACGAATAATGGTCTTACTCCCCTTTAAGACAAAATATCTAAATTTCATAGATGTGTTTCCATACGACAAAGAAATCACCTACCTTGAATTTTGTTCTACTTTTATACTGCAAGTATTTAATAATACATAAGAGTTATATGCTGTCCTCTACGTGAAATCTTCCATTTTCAAGGAAAGATATGAAAATTAAAATTGTATGTTTAGAAAAAGTTTTGGAATTTGCTATTTAACTTTTCTCGTATTTAGAATCTGCTGTTTATAACACATATTTATATGTATTATAAACGTTCTATAATCTATATATAATCTGTTCGTTCCATAATCCGTACAACACATAGTTTGCTATTTCTAATAGAAAACAGAAATCCAGTACCACAAGCTTTGTGCTGCAAACTTATACATATTATGCTATTCATAAACATCTCAATGTTAATATTTCAAAACGAATACATTTATTTCTTGTAAATTATTAGCAGTTCAATTATAAAAGAAATTCCCTGGATATATAGTTAAAAATCGAAAATTCACGATACGTGGAAACCGTACTAATATGTTTCGCAATAATAAATTAATTAAAATATGCTTCGTTAACAGAGCTTCGTTTATTTAAATTATTGAAACTTATTCATAAAATTTTATTTAACTTATTAATAGCTAACTTAGACAATACAAATTGTTTCTATAGCATCTGAGCTTTTAAATGATAAATATGTGAAATAATAATTAAACAAAAAATTTGATTCTCATGTTTAACAATCTTACGTACACCAAAAATTTAATTTTTCTTTTTTAAGGGTAATGAAATTAATGTAAACTCGAATGAAATTAATGAAATCTGGATTTCGTTTTATTATCGATTTCCTATTTTGTAAAACTTTAACCAATTTTTGATTAACAAACTCAATGATTTCAAAGCGAACAATGGCAATGTTGTACAGAAAAAAAAAAAAAAAATTATCTCCAGCGCGTGAGACTGTGTACCGGAAGTTCTAAGGATATGCTCAATTTAAAATTATTTTGCGATATTGCTCTTGAACTGAATTTTATGGTTTGAGTGCAAAGAACATAATATTTCATAAATAAAGGTAACACACAAGACTTTAAAATAACGTCCGTTTGGACGTAATTTAAAATCTGAAACCTTTCAGATTTTCTTTTATAATTTTTTTTGCTTTCTTTTCTTTTATTTTAACAGATAAGACTTATCTTTTGGTCTTGATTTGAAATCAAAAGTCGCAGTGCAACCTAGCTCTTCTTGGTTATGCACTGAAGTTTAGATTCAAAATTTATCTTCATACCTTTGTTTATATTCAGCATACAACGGCGCAATTTAACACGTGATATTTGCTTTAACATCCAGAAAAATGTAATCAGTACTACAGCAACACTAGGTATGATTTTTTTCCCCTTGGAAGTTTTAATGAAATCTAATGCTAGTTATCGTGTTATTAATGAGTATCCTAAAAGTATCTAAATATTCCATGCATTATTTTTATATAATGCTTAATTGTTAGAATTATTAGGATTACAAAATTTTAGAATGTAAAAATTAAAACTTAATTATAGTAGTTGCATTATTTTAGCCTATTTTTTCCTGTATGTTTCGATACTTGTAGAGTCATTAGGAGTTTTGATGATGGAGACGGGAAATACGAGCAATTCCCTCGCTGGTACTTGAACTTGGACCTCTCGAATAAACGCCGACTGTGCTACCGTTACATCACGAAGACATGCAAAAAG